CAACACCGTCCCAGGAGTCAGCTCTCTCCTTCATCCACAGTACCCAGCTGGTCACAAGCCCGATTCACCCCTAAATCCATCCCCTCCTCTCTACCCTTACTGTCACTATCGTCTGGACTTGGGCAGTTTCCTTTTCTCTTCACAAACAGTGAGGCCTCCCTCTGAGCCATCTTCCTCACGCTGCAAGAGCATCCTTTCTAAAATACACCTCTGGACTCAGCACTCTCCTGCTCTGAAAATCTTCAGGGTCTCCTCATCACCTGCAGTTAAGTTCAACTGCTGGCATGAGCTATGAAGCCCCTCATCACCTGGCTATTCTCATTCACTTGAAATCGGCACCCTGTTGCCTAGTCATAAAGGGCATGACCACAGGGCCTTTGCACATGTGTGTACCTCAGCCTGAAATGCCTCTCTTGCCTTGGAAATCAACCCTTATTGGGAGATCCAACTCAAATATGTCCTCCCATGTGAAGCCTTTCCTAATTCCTCTCCCAAAAGCAAAATGAGTCAGTCCTTCCTCCTTCACACCCTAACCCCTGGAAGGCCTTTCACTATTTTCAAACATCTGTTTACATGTTTATCTTCCCTGTTAGACATGGGGTCTGCCTCTTGAAGTATCCCAAACACACTGCCTGGCTCTTGGTATGGGTGTTTGCCAAATGACTGAAGACACATAAGCCAGGCACATGGAAAGAGACACTAGAGGTACAATACCAGGAAAGAGGGCACCGTAATAGTCAGGCAACAGGCAAAGGGCCTGGGCTGGGATGATGGAGATGGCAGGATGGTAACAGCAACAAGATCCCTAACACTGGGCCCTGACCACAGCCCTCTCACAGACCTTGTCTCATTTAATCCTCACAGCAGCCTAGGAGTAGAGCCTCTTATTACTGCTATTCCCAATTCACAGAGGAGAGAACTGAGGCCCAGAAAGTGTGAACAAATGACTTTGGAAATAGAAAGGAGGATAAATGTGATCTACTGCCAAAAACATTTCCATACCTGGATGCCTGCTCAGCTGAGCACAGTGAGGGGAAGGTGTTCGAGACGACTCCGCGCGACAGGAAGGCCAGCAACACCACGGCCCGGGCCAAGGGCGTTCACATAGGGGCTCTTTTGTCTTCCTTTTGGGGACTGGCTGTGTGATGGGAGAGAGACTGAGTTCTGTCTGGGCTTGTTTGACTGAGGCATCAGCAAAACATCGCGGCACACATGACCATGTGCCAAGACCTCAGGGGCCCTTCGTGGTCATCGTGTGCCTCACCCTTCCCCAGAACCCTGTGAGGGAACGTCCCCTCCGTCTTATAGGCCTGGGAACTGAGGTTCAGAAAGAACAAAGACCTTCAGATTAAGACTCAGACGTACCAAGCAGCAAAGCCAAGATTTGAACCCAGGTCTGCCCAACTCAAAGTTTGCTCTATCCAAGAGGTCAGGAGCTCCCAAACCCAACTGATCATTAGGCTCCCGCCCCAGTGAGGAATTTTTTAAATGCATATTCCGAGGCCATGCCCCAGAACTACCAAATTTGATCAGATCTACCAAAGCATGGAATCTGGATGGTTTAAGCTTTCCAGGTGGTTGTAATAATCAAGCTGGTTTCAAGAGTCATCGCACTGGTCCACAGGCCTCTCTAACGTAGAAAATATGGGTCCAGACCTTTGGAAAGAGCTTAGAGCTGGATACATAAGTCAAGGAACAATTTACACAGAAAGGGAAGGTAAATTGTGGAAGTAGCTGAGCTCACCAAGGGAGAGTACAGAAAAAGAAAACAAGAGGACTAGGACAGCACCCTGGAGAAAGTTCCAGAAGCAGGAAGAAAATGGTACGAGAGATAAGAGACTTAACAGCAATTATGCCCCAAAGCCAAGGGGTAAAAGGGTTTTGCAAAGGGGCATTTGACAATGTAAGATGCTGAAGAAAGAAGGAGGAAGAGGAGGGCCCAGATCATTACACTCGTGTTGATTATGTCCATGGGGTAGAATAATATCCTGATCTACAAGCTGATGTGGGTTTTGCTTGGTTGGTTGTTTTAGGAGTTTTCTAACACCCCTCGAACACTGTGCCCCCTACATTAAGTCAGTGGCCTTCACCGCCCAGGGAAAGTATGATACAGTGGAATGCAGAGATCGAGGCTTCTGGGTTCAGAGAGCATAGGTCAGGGCATTGACGAAAGTCTGGAAGACCACAGGAGGGGTCTGTTGGGCAACGCCGTCCAAACAAAGATCCCAAGATGGTGAATATGGGAGCAGTAGTGAGGAAACAAAAATGAGTGAGACCCTGGGCTCTGCCCTTGAGAAGGGGCCCTTGAAATCTTCACCATGGCCCCATTTCCACAGCCCCAGAAGTGGCCAAGAGGGATGTAGAGCTGAAGAGACCCCACGCTGGGGAACAAGAGACCATACCGCCCACAGGGATCAAAGACCAAGGCCCTTCCAGAAGAGACGAGGTCATTTCAACAGTGTGGATCAACAACGCCAAGGGGACCTGTGGCTATCCCCTCAGCCTCATACAGCAGTGGCCATAGAGAAGGGCCCAGGACTAAGCTACACCTCCAGGGAGGGGGCTGAGAGCCCTGCATTTACAAAGATGAAGTTTATGCCACCAGGCCACAGGGAGTCTCCAAGAGGACATTATGTTCAGTTACAGGAAAGCAAAAACAAGCCACATTTCTTTCCCTCCTGAGTTTGCCAGCTGAGATCTCTATCTGTTACATTCCAGAGATGGGATGGAAGACAGAGAGCAAGGAGCTGAGGAGAGAGCAAAAAGGAACTGGCAGAGGTGGCAAATATAGACTCTTCCTCAAAAAAAATCAGAAAATTATACATATATATCCCTCTCCATCCAAGAAAGTTCAGAGAGAGAGCTACTAGAATTAGGGAGGTGTGTCTGTGTATCTGTGTGTGTGCACATGTGTATGCTCATGTGTGTGTGTATATCTGCATGTATGCATACGTGTGTGTGTGTACATATTTAGGATGGAGGAAACCTGACAATGCTCCCTTAACTTAGTAAGTCTCTGCCTGACTCGTGGCTTGACAGAGGTAGGCGTTGCCTTAGCAACTAGAAGCCCCTGTTCAAACTCCCGCACTCTCTTCTCCCAAACTCCTAGTGTAACATCACTAAGTTCACTGGCTGTCCCCCACCTCTCTCCCTCCACCTATCTAACTTCGCCCTTCATCTGGAAGGAACAGAGGAGCAACAGGCAACAGCAGCCTGACTCCGGGAGGCCTTGAGAGGCATGGTCTTGCATGCTGGTGTTCTTTTTTAAAAAAACAGCTTTATTGAGGTATAATTTACATACCATAAAATTCACCCATTGTAAGTATACGACAACGATTTTTAGTCGAGTTACACAACTGTGCAACCATTACCACCATCTAGTTCTAGAACACCTGCATCACTCTGTGGTGGGACTTCTCCCCACCTCCCGGAAGGGACCCCCGCCAGCCCAGGCTTCCCTCTCGAGCAGCTCCCCAGGTGCCCTGCTAATGGTCCTGGGCCCTCTGGGGTGAGGGACTGCTGTGGGGCCACCTCTGGGGCCTACGATAAAGCAAACTCCTTTCCCCACTTCACCACTGCTTTGTCCTAGAGCAGACCCAAAGCTTCATGGGCTTCAGAACAAGACGCAATTCTTTTTTTTTCTTAAGATGCACATTAAGTGTTAAGCTGCAGGGGCTTCAGGGAGGCCCCAGGTCGGGGAGGGAGGTGGACACAGAGGAAGCGTAACCAATGGGAGATGCTCCTGTTTTTCCAGGGGTCATTTGGGAGACACTTTGCTTGTGTTTATTTTGACACAGTAAAGATTTCTTGCCTATTAAGAGACAGGGTCACACCTCAGAAGCCTGAGTGGACTGCGACTAATGCTCTGCCGGCCAACCCTGGCCATGTCATCACTCGGCACTCGCTGGCCAGCTCTGGAACCTATCCCCAACACGCAGCCCCAAGGCAAGCCATAAGATGCAGCACCCTGGCTCGTACCCAACACCGTACTCAACATGGAGCTGGGGCTAACTGTGAAAAATGGGAAAATGGCAGAGAAGTTTAAAACACACATCAGATTTATTTGCTGAAGGAGCCAAAGAAAATGTCAAAGGTTAAAAAGCAAAAGAATTACACCCATGATAGCAGCAGCAGCCAGCACCAATGGAAAGGAGAATCTTTCAACCCTCCTGCTTCCTTTAGAAAGCACCTCATCAGGCAGTCCAGTCTCACTAACGAGAGGAAGGTGCTGACGACAGGGGAAAGATGTGCTTTGTGGGAATCACATGAAAAGTTACGGTGTCTTTGCAGGGCAGGCGGAGAGAGACAGGATTTTCCTACGGGCCTGTAGCAGAGGCATCCCAGAGTGCCCCAATTTTGCCAACTGCATTCCAGAGCTCTTTTCCTCCCATGCCCAGACGGAGCAAAGGCCTTTGTAATGACTTCATGCTCAGCCAAAAGTAAACACACTCTGCACTTTTTCCATGGACAGATTCTAACCTCAAATTGCCAGAGCTGGCCTCCCAACCATCCAAATGGAAAGCCGCCTTTCCCAAGAAAATAAAACCTTTGCAACTAAATAATACATCTTGGCTGCAAAGCAACTTTCCTAAAAGCTTCCTAGAAATTATTTATCGTGCAATAATACCACAGATCACCTGAGCAGACCCTGCCAACGGCACGAAGGCACTGAGAATAAGCACAAGCGACCCGAGGAGGAAGCTCACTCCCGCAGACACCGCCCTGCCGCTCCTGCAGCACGCCTCGTGGCCACTCAAAACACACGCACACAATCAGAGCTCACGACCAACTAACTGGAATATTCTTTCTGAAAACAGGCTGTGATAAGACAGGCGCTGATTTGAATTAAGAGCAAAACAGCACTGAAGATCCGACACGGCGGTGCTCTGGCACATGTAAACACACCTCGCGCTTCCCTCCCACATCCCAGCTTGAATCCCTGGGACCCAAGCTCAGTCCTCTACCAAGAAAGAAACGCAGAGACTGCAGTGTGGACTTACCAGGTTGGAGTTGGTGGCATTGGAGTCATCTTCTGGAAAGGGAATATAGATGGCTAAGGCCACACAATTGGCAAAAATAGTCAGTAAAATAATTATTTCAAATGGTCTGAGGAAGGGAGTTAAGGAAGTTAATGCCACAGAAAGCAAAGTGAAACAAACATTCATATAGGTATATATTTTAAAAATGAATCAAAGATTCATAAGAATTTTGTTTAAACAATACATTCCAAGACCCTTGTATTCTGAAAAGAAACATATGCCTTTTTAAGTGCTTCTAATGGGTCCCCGCCAAAATTTTTCCTAATATGTCAAAAGCAGTGGAGGCCAGTCGCGTGCCAGAGTAAACACAGATTTCTAAAAACTTTTTCCCCGTCTTTTATTTATTTAGATTGCATTGAACTTCATTTTCCCTCATGTGTGCTTGGGATTGCTTTTAAAGAGCAGGGCTCACCCCAGTCAGGACTCACGTCCCCAGGTACCCCTGTCCCCGTGGCTCACATGCTGACCACAAGGGACTCAAACAAGCTTGGGATGGGAGAGGTGGGATGCAGTGGGACAGAAGGCAGAGATTTGACCTCAAGATTTTTCACTGAAATTTGGAGATTTTAGTTTTCATATCTTAATTTGAAGTTTAGAGTGGTTTTTTCCTTCTCCCTTATTCTCTGACAGCTTCCAGAGAATCGGAAGGGCCAGGGGCCTGGACCCCCAAGAGCATGGCGGCATGTGTACGGTGCGATCAGGGTCGGGCAGCCACCTTCTAAGGCACAGCTCCATGCAGAACACCTAAAACCTCTTCAGTCTGTGGAGGCCCCGTCTCCAGTGGGCAAGGCTCACGTTCAAGGCCCTCTTTCCCCAACCAATGGTCTGTGCCAGGTCTAGAGGGATAAGCCATGGCCCACTCTCCCACAGCAGTGCACTGAGGGAGACACCTATGCCAGACTTCTTCATCAAAACATCAGGGCAGAGCACACTCTCAAGAGAAGAATCAGCAGACGTGCTCACACCCCTTCCACTCTGCACCCACAACTGAGGCCAGAAGCAGGGAGCTCCAGAGGAAGGGCCCCGTGGTGCTCTTCCAGCCCCATCTCCTCCACCTCCCAACACTGCCAAGTTCCCAGCCTGGTCCATGGAGCCTAACAGGAGGAGGAAGAGAAAGAGGATGGCAATTCCTGGAAGAAGGGAACAACTTCATCTCCCACGGAAACCTGAACTCACAAAGTTAACGAGACTTGAAGCAGGAAGAGACATTAGAGATAATCTAGTCCAAACCTCTGAGGCCCAGAAAGCCTGAAAAACTTGCCCAAGACTCCAGCAGGTACTGACCAGCCAGGTCTAGAACCCAGATTCCCCGACCATGGAGTCCAGCATTCACTCCCCTGCCAGGGATGGCCTCTCACTGGTGTTAACGGGGCACCTCTGGGCCTAGAAGGAATCCTACTGGTTATCTAGGCCAGGGCTTTCTAACCCAGGTGCTGTTATTGATCCCCTTGGCCCCATGGGTATAGCTCAGGGTCTATTTGCCCAGTCATTTTCCATGTGCCTCGATGTCAAGAAGATGGTATGCAGTGGACCTGTCCAACCACCCAACTCGACAGATGCAGAAAATAAAACAATCTCTCCCAGATCCCAAGCTGGCGAACAGCAGGGCCAGGACCAGACCCCCTGACTCATCTTTTCCAACACCCCGTGTTGCCCCCGGCGCTGGCCAGGGAACAAATGATGATGATGGTGATGCTGCTGCTGATGACAATGATGGCAAGGGGAAGGACAGTGGCTAACATTTCCTGAGAGCTGACTCTGCGCCAGGAGCTGTTCTAACTGCTCTACACAAACACCCTGAGTGGAATGTACAATTATTCCCATTTCTAAATAAGGAAAACTGAGGCACAGAGAGGTTACATTAACTTGCTCAAGATCACACAGCCAGTGGTAGGATGGGATTCAAACCGAGGAGGTCTGTCTCCAGAGTGTGAGTTTGTAGGGACCTATCCTAAAGCCACCCTAAAGCACTTTTAGGAAGTTAGTTCCTTTAGGCCTCCTACCATATCACCTCTTCCCTCCTAGCCCTTTTCCTGAATGTCAGGAAAGTGACATTCAGCCCAGAGGCTGGTCAGTTTCGCTCCCACCCTCTGTCTCCTGTGCTCCCCCTACCAGGGCAAGGGCACATCAGTTCAGCTGAGCCAGACCTCATGTCTCCAGTCCTCAAACGTCAGCTCCTCCTCCCTCCAAAGTGGGTGACGGCTAAGCTCGGGGTGTTTCCTGTGCTGTCAGTTCCGCCTCCTCCCCCCATTCAGGGTCTCCATCCATCATCTTATGCTAAAAGTCCCAGCTAATGCTGGGGAAGGCCATGTGTAAAGAAACCAATCAGGCAGATAAGGAAAGGCCCCTGCTGCAAAGCTCAGGGGAACCCAGGTGAGCCCTGGAAGCGTTCTGTGTCACCTGTGAAGACCAGAGCAGTGTTTAAACTGCCTTCTCTCCTTAACGACGCTGTCAGAGTCCACTCTTCCCAGGAGCACTGACTGGCTGGCTCACCACGCCATCTCCTCACCCACCCAGCTACCCTTCCAAGGCAATCTGAAAACGCACCCCAACTCGTGCTGCCTAGGCTGGTCCACTTCCTCTCCTGCAAGGGAGGGCACACTCCCCCAGGAAGGGTGGGTGCAGCACCCCTCTGCCTAAGGCGGGGGTGTGAGGCGGCGGAGGCCCACAGTGGGCACACTGCTGCTGATTCAGTGAAGGGTCTTTTCACAAGTCCCTGACTCCAGCCTCCTGGGGCCTGGCTAGCGTCTGTGGACAGCTTGTCCTGCCCTTCCACTAGGGAGCCAGCACTCCTCCACTCTTCTTGCTTCCACCTGCCCTGTGAATTACTGCTCCACCCTCTCTACCTTTCTTCCCAGGTTTTTACATCACCCAGGACTTCATTCTGTGCTCAGTACTCCTGTCAGGGCGCTACCCATCCCAGAAGGGGAAGGCGGACTGGAAGTTAACCGCACTCCCCGACACAGTGCCTGAGCATGCCGGTGCTCGCACACACGTGGGCTTTGCAGCCCTTGCTAATACCTTAGGAGGCGACTGCGGTTATTGCAGTTAGAGACGGGGAAACAAGCTCTGGGGTTTGGGTGGCCTGTGACCTCTCAGAACACAGGTGGCAGGGCCACAACAGGGTAGATGTCCAGGCCGCAGACCCAGGTCCCACTGTGTCCCAGTGGGGCTGACGGGTATCCCCTAAATGTCCACCCTAGTATCCACAGGCGCGTGGGGTGGGAAGTCATGGATTTGGGGTTAGGGGGACCTGGATTTGAAACCCGGCTCTGTCAGTTGCCAGCTGTGTGATTTGGGCAAGTTCTTCAGGTTTTCCAGGCCTCAGTGTCCCCCTCTCTGGGGAAGCCTGACCTGCTTGGCCCCTCCCACTCCATGATCCTGCTGTGAGCAGCGATGACAGCAGCCTCTGGGGCCGCCCAAAGCTGAGCCTCTCACCCAGTCATCAGGAAGCGGAACCACGCCTGGCCACTCAGGACAGACGGACCTCCTCTGCGGCTGCCACTTGGCTTGAACCGCATTCTCTTCTAGTTTGAGTTGCAGGGTTCAAACATTTATAGAGCCAACATTTCCTGCTGAAGAGAAACCTTCTTCTCTCCCGAGTCATCTTCTTTTACCTTTCAACCACGACCGAGACTTTTAAATCTTTCCATGGAAACTCATTAATGAAACCTAACACTCCCATCCCAAACCGTGGGAGACACGGCAGCCCTGCCTGAATGAACTCATACTATAAAAATGCAGCACCAAGTACCAGGGTTCTAGTCCTGTGTGCCACTGACTGTGTGACCCTGGAGAGTCACTCCGGCGGGGCTCAATGTCACCACTGGAGAAAGTCAGGGGTGGACCTACTGATCTCTGAGGTCCTTGCCATCTCCACAACCCACAATCCCTATGGTGTTAAAGGGCCTGTAATTTCATGGGGAGAGCCTGACCCTTCCAAGTCATTTTCTCTGAAGGACCCACTCACTGGTTTGTATACATACAAAGTAGATCTGTGTTTAAAACTCCAGACCAGTGTCCACCACTTTAGCTGCATATTAGAATCACCCGGAGAATTTTAAAATATGCCTGGGTGGAGCTCAGGCACCTGTATTTTGCTATAACTTTTCAGGTGACACCAGTGTGCAGCCAAGATTGAGAACCGCTGCTCCTAGGCCTTGAACCAAGAGCGGAGTCATTAACCACTACCCTCATGCATCTCCTGGGCTCTTCATCCTAGAGAGAGGGGAGGTCACGAAACTATGCCAGCACCACATCATGGAGGGAAAGAAGGTTATGGAGCAGCAGCATGTCACCACTATGCACCCAACACACCAGTGGCTCCCTGGGCAAACTCAGCTAGGTAAGATGGTATTTCATAACCTCTAAGGCTCATTTTCTCAAATGATGCTTACTATATGCAAAAAAAAACCACCTGGGGAGCTTGCCATACAAGCCGATTCCTAGGCGCTGTCCCCAGAGATTCTGATTCACCAAGTCTGGAGCAGGACCAGAATTCTACATTTGAACAGCACCCCAATGCTGCAGATGCAATAGATCTGAGAGCCACCTTATAGGCTCAGCTCGTACAACACAGCCCACTGGCTGGTAGGCCGTGGGGGGCTGGCGCCACAGGGCTGCCAAGGACACCCTGCCCAGCCCAGAGCACAAAGGATATTTCCATTCGACGATGCTTATGCATGCCCTCCGGATGGGGTTCTTCAGAGTCAGGCAGAGCAGGGCGCGGGGCGGGCGCGTGGCGGTCGTGCTGCCTTGCTTCTTGGGTTTCCCATACTGCTGCCGCTTCCGCTGCGTGGAGCTGACCGTGGAGATGGTTGCATTGCCAGCACTGCCCATCAGCTTGGCTTGCCGGGCCGCATCGATGGCTGCCTGCCAGGACAGGGCTGCCCCCGGGGTGGGGATGTGCTCGGGGGCGAGCCCTGCAGCTGCATTGGCATTCATGTTGGCATGAGCTGAGCGTGGGCTCCCATAGTTGGAACCTGCAGAAGGAGAGAACAACAGTTACCAGGGAGAAAACAAGAGACCTGGTGATACGCTCTGAAGCCCAGACTCACAATTCCTTAAAAATCTTGTTTCAAACTGTTGCAGGAGCCTGGAGGTGGCACATGGGAACATTTGTGTGTGATGCTGAGAAGAAAGAGTCAGGAAATCTGTTCTCGTCCTAACTCAGCCTAGTTCAGCCGTGTGACCTTGGATATGTCACTCTCCCTCTCTGGTCTCATTGCCTCATTTTAGGCAAATAAGGCATGAGATGTATGCATTACAACATGTATGAACCTTAGAAACACGGTGCTAGTGAGAAAGGCAGAATGCAGAAAAAGCTAAATACACAATACAATATGTGTAAATTAAATACATTTATATCATAACACACAAATAAAAGGATATTCATTAAGTAGAACAGAGTGGTTGTTTAAGGAAGGTAAGGAGGAAAATGGGAGTAGGATATGGCGATAAAAAAGACGAATGAATGAACAAATGAGTGAGTGAATAAGAGTTCCAGTGCCTGAACCAATGAGGACAGAGGCACAATAAATTGAAGAGTAGGATTCGCTCAAATCTCTGCACCTGAGTCCCAAAACATAAAACTAAGTACAATAAAATAAGGGGATTGGACCAAAGCAAGGCTACATCCGAGGACCTCAACCCGTCTGGGCACTGAGTGTTGGCTGGACAGGAGGGGTTAGGGGGCTGTGAGGGCTTCACATCATATCAGCAAATCCTTTGACATCCCTCCCAATGAGAAATGGGATCTACGCCCCCTCCTCTTGAAATGGGGTTGGCTCTTGGTGACTGTTTTGACCAATAAAATACAGTAGGTATGATGGCATGCGATTTCCAAGGCGAGGACAAAAAAAGGCAACGTGGCATCCACCTGTTCTCTGGGGTAAGCCAGTCACCCCATGAGGCAGCCTGACAGCCCTGAGGCCGCCATGCGGTGAGGAAGCCCAGGTGGCCGACAGGGAGAGACCACCCACAGAGAAAGCTTCCCAGGCAGCCCTCAGCTGCTCCAGTCACCATCTGACCGCAACCTCACGAGAGAGACCAGACCGCCCAGCCAAGCCCTTCCTGAATTCCTGATCCACAGAAACGTGGGAGATAGCAAGGTGTTCACTGCCGTAAGCCACTTTGTTTCGGGGTGATTTGTTATACAACATTTGACACCTGGGAAAGGGAGCTGTGGTGGCAGGGGTTGACAGGGTGGGGGTAGAGGGACTCAGTCAGGAAGGAAACCTGAGTAGGAACCAGTGAAATCCAGAGTAGGGGTATCTGCACTGCTCTGGCTTAAAGGCAATGGCAGCCCTCAAGACTGTCCCTAAGATACCAACATACTTGGAGGGCACTCCTCAGTCTGGTGGGCCAGATGCCTCACCCTAGAGTCCTACAAAATCTGCCTAGTGATCAGCCCAGCCTGGGCCTAACCCTGAACACTCCAGAACAGATGCATGACCTTGAGACTTGTCCACTGGCCAGGTGCGGCAGGATCAGAGAAGCCATAGAGAATGGGGTAATACTGTGGGCAGAGAGCCTGGCATCTGGACGCCATGTCAGTCACCCAGGAGACGGTGGCCTGAGCAGCCAGCCCAGTTGCACGTCTGTCAGTTCCGAGTCCCCCAACAAGGACCCTCTTCTCTGCTTGGTGTACACAGGTTCCTCCAGGAAGCTGCTGCTCCCAGAAACAATGGCCCAGTGGAACCCCTTCCTCTCCTCACTGCAGCTCACTAGCACCCACAGGAACACCTGGCACGGCACCCAGCCACCTCTCCCCAACTCTTATCTCAGACTGATCCTTCTACATTTGACTTTAAGATAACTGTTGCTCCCAGTGTGAGCTTCTGTGACCCTATCACCCCCACCACCAGCCATGTCCCCCATGGGACCAGTTCAGAGATGAGCACCTGACCCGGCTTAGCCAGTCAGAACATTTTCACCCAGAAAGAGTCGGTCCTAGAGACAGACTCGACAACCTCAGTGGGCTTCTGCATCCAGCCATGCCTGATGCTCGCCTTACTCCGAGCTTTTCAGTTTCATTACTTAAGTAACTTAGCTTAAGCTAATTTGAATTGGGTTTCTGTCCCTCGCAACCAAAAGAGACCTAACTAACACACCTGCTCAGTGTCACAAGGCTTGTACCTGGCTGGGCTGTCATTCTGCTGGATTCCAAAGTCTACATCCATTCCATCATCACACCAGTGACAGACAATAAGTTTCCACTCTTACGCCAATTGATTGGCATCCCTGTCCAAAATGCTGTACCTAAAGGATTCTGAGACTTTTCTGAGTACAACAGGAAAGGAGATCATGATAGATTAGTGATGTCCGCCATGGGCGCAAAGGGTAGGGGACAGTATCACAGATGCCCCATGTTTATCACCCCTGTATGATACCAAGATGAGCACACCAGGTCCTCTTTAGTACCAGCCGGTCGACTGCCTTCTTGTCCCCTGAGAGTTGCCTCCTGCACTATTGCCATCTGGTCCCTGGAGCATTAGAGCCCCAGACCCCCTCCCTGGGGGCTGGAAAATGCCCTCTGTTCTATACTTTATTCACAGCTATGTTCTCAACGTGACACGGACTCCCGTCTCACCACATATTCCCTTCACCCTTCTCCTTTCCTCTGCCCCAGCTGCTCCAGGCAGCTGCCGCCCCCCAGGAGCAAAGGACGGTAAGCAGAATGTCAGGATCCTGGAGGACCCAAGACGTCCACTGAGAGGTCTGCTCTCCCATGCCTCGCCCCTGTCCTCCCTGCACTCACTGTGGGGGTCATAAGCTAGAGCAAGGAAGATCCCAACAAGGCTGGGCCTTTACCTTTCTTATAGGGGCCCAGAGACAAACCGAAAGAGAGGATTTGGACTAATAAAGGCACCTGAAGCACACGAGCTGCTTTAATAACTGGCCAGCACAAGCGTCTCCATTTAACACACAAGAAGACAAAGGAGCGTCTGACTCATCAAAGGTCACGAAGCGAGATAACGGAAGATTCCCGCTGCAGGCACAGGGCTCACAGCTAACTGCTGGACTCTCCTCCGCCTCCTCCATCCCACACACGCACCCCACATGCATGCACACGTGTGTGCTCACAAACATGGCCACAAGCCAAGCTCACACCTCCCACTGGGCTTCGGGGCCTTGACTTTGAAAAGGCTGCATTTCTGACCCCGAGAACATCCTTTGTGTTTAATATGACCGTCACTGCACGGGATGGCATCCCCCACAGACACAGCCTGTGAGGAACCCTCAGGCACCTCTGGGACGAATGAAGGTGGAAAGCGTCCCTGTTTGTTTGTTGCGCCAGGAGTGACGGAGTCCCATCTCATGTCTTATTGGGTTCACCAGAGAGGCTGGAACTCTGTGTCCATTGGACCTGCAGTATCTAATTTTTCCTTCCTAGACTCCTGGCTTGGCATTGTCAATGGCTAATAGACTCTATTTTATTTCCTGGACTAAGTTCTCCTCTTCCCTCACAAATGTAAAAGCAGCCCTGTCTCCACCGTCAGCCTTTCCAGACCCCGATTCTCCTCTCACAACAAGCCTTCTACACTTCACCCTTCCTGCAGCTTACCGTCTTCAAACTCTAACCTTTGTGCTCACCCCTAAGCATTGTCTTAATCCCCCTCTCTCCTACCACTTGCTAGCTCCAGAAACCCAGGAGTTTTCAGAAAACACTCGGGAAGAAGGCAGGAAGCACCAGCATGAAAACAGACCCACCGCCTCAGAAGGGCTGTGTGGGGTGCATCCTGTGGACCCCAAGGTGTCAAGACCAGGGCTTCCTAGAGGCAGGCGGCTGTGGCTCCACGGACCCAAGAGGTGGTTCTGAAAGCCACGTCTTGGTAGGCTGATGTCTGAGCCACCCCATACCACAGGTGACCTTATTAGAGCACAAGGACCTCTCTGGAGCACACCGTCTGGAGAAAGCACACACAAATAAGCCCATGGGTAAAAATGGAATGTCAACCTCTCCCTAGCCAGAGGACAAGAAAACAACCTTCAGTGTTTTGGTCCTGGCAGCTCTGAGCGTTGCTGCAGCCCTGTGACACGACTAAGGTCACTGCCACTGTCAACACAGAGCCACACACAGGTGAGACAGGTGTGGCCCTTCGGGGCTGGGCTCCACTAGAGCTGGCCTTCAAGGCCCAGCTCAGCCTCTCCTTCTCCAAGCAATTTTCCCCCACCCACTGGGATGATTCCCCATGCAGACCTGAGCACCTCTAGGTCCCCCGTGACAAGGAGCCACAACTATCCAAGAATCCCAGGAATGGAAAAGCTTCATCTCAGACTCAACATTTTTGAATCCAGAGTGGTGCCATGGAGGAAGGCAAGCAGCATTGTGTCCCCGATGGCTTTCGTCAGCACGAAATAACTACCCAACACAAAGAGACCAATTTTCAAATTACAAAGCTGATTCAAAGCTCTGTCTCCTGGTTGCCAGCTGAAAAGATGCCACTGTTTAAGTGTGCTCTGGCTCCTGCCTTCCTAGACTATTTCCACTGATGCTCTCGACCCTGCACAAGCCTCCGAGCAACAGCTTAGCACATCAGTCCACACACAAACAGGTGGGTGCCCACAGCGGTGATCTCTTCCTCGTACATAAGAAAATGACTCCCATTTGTCAAGTGACAGCAGCAGCTCCCTCCTCCTGCACACAAGAGCTGCTGCTTCTCCAAGGGAGCAGGACGAGGGCAGGACACCGGCATGAACTGGTCAGCCGCATGTCATTCTGCTCTGCAAGGTCCATGCGAAGAGTCCCAGTTAGAAGGCAGTGGCTTATGCTTCCCTGGGACACCTGTGAGTGAGGCCTGGAGCTGGGGACACGAAGAGTGTTCAGTGATGAGAAGGTCGATTTTTTTCTTTAATCCATCTCCATCCATGCACCGGATCCAGGGCCATATGCCAGAAGATGCTCAATATCTATTTGCTATTGACTGTAATGACGATGATGTCGTGATAAATCTGAAGGCAGACAACAGGTAAACCTCAG